GGACTGAGCCCTGCTTTGGGTTCAGGGCTGACAATGCAGAGTCTGCTAAGGATTCTCTGTCCTTCTTTCTGGCCTCTCCCCCACACATGCTCTCTCTCAAAATAAATAAACATTAAAAAAAAAAAAAGTTTCATGAGTGTCTTAAATACCAAACAAAGGCAATAATACCTAATGTGAATATCTTGACAATGAACAAAGAATTAGGGATACAATATTTTAGAAATACTTATATATTAATAATGTGTAATATTATTAAAGGGATATGGATAATTTAGAAGCATAATATAAAATGTAAAACCATTTTAATAGCTCTTAAATGTTTGAGAAAAATGTCTAAAATCATATCATCGTCATGGGCATGGAAACGAAATGATGGATGTGAGCGAAATGATGGTATAAAATGCAGAAAATGACCACCATCCCACTAGGCACGGTGACAGAAAAATAAATCCTCTCCCACTAACGCAGAACCGGAGGAAAAGTTAAAAATAATAACCACAGGCTCAGAATTTAGAATCCTTTAGTTTCCTTCAGGAGGCAGAACATTTAAAAGAGAAACTCTATTTAGCTTTCAAACATTTGTGTTACCATTCAAATAAATGAGGACAAATTTATTTAATGGATAACGTCTCAATATTTACTATTCTAATTAGTTCCTTTGTTCATTAGATATTAGCTGCTGATGTGTGTGGTGATAAAACTCACATTCTACAATTTCCAATCACCAGATTTTAATAATGAATGTGGCTTTCTGAGTTTGAGCAATAAAAATACTACACACAATTAAATCAGTACATAAAAAAACCAGGACAAAGAACAGGGATGGTGAGCCAATTCGAACCAAAACAATGAGATGGCATTATGATTTGTGAACATTTGACATATAAAATATCAAGCACTGTTTGTATAAAGGTGTGAGTATCAGAGTCAATTAAATCCACCTGCATTGCAAAACTTTTGGTAAGGTTTGTAAATTACACCATCCAATTTCCACAGATCAGCAAAAATCTTCAAAAAAAATGTGTAACTACTAAAAAGCATAAGTGGAATATCAAAGTGCAACATTTGCTTACATTTCTTAACTTCTTTCACTGTAAGATAATAAGTATTTCCCTTACAGAAAACAATTTGATTGTGGTGATCAAAACGCATGCATGCGGGAGGACTAAAAAATAGTCAGTACAGCATATCACTTTATATTCATTTTAACTGTAAAAAAGAATTTTCTCCTCAGTTCCAAGTTGGAGACTTTGACTATCTTCAAGTGATAGAAGTCACTCAGATAAGTGAGTGGAATTTTGGAATTAACTTCAATTCATCAAGATGAGCAAACTGAAGGTATGTTCATAAGCTGCTAATTATTTCCCAATTAGTGTTCTCTCTACTCTCTCTTTAGTAATAGAACCCCATATTTTGTTTGGGTGCGTGCCTATGTTGGGGGAGGATTCTATTCTACATCCTGATTCAACTCAGCCAGGATAGTCCCTAAGCTGTGGACATCAGATACAAATAAAAGCGATGTGTACAATTTCCAACCTACCCTTAAAGGCAAAGGGCATGTCCTCTATTGACACTTGCCTCCATTCTGTTATCTAGAAGGCAAAAATCACTGTACATATATTGAAGCAGCAGCCTTTGATCACAACATGGAAAAGCTACACTGAACTGAAGACAGAAGAAAACTTGAGAAAAGGACCTGGGGGCCTGGAAGACTGAGACCTGACACATTAGGCCTTACCTCCAGATGTTCACATGAGAGAAGAATGAACTTTTGTCTTCCTGTAGCCACTTTTACTTTAGGTCTCTCTAGAACAGCCAAACCAATACACTAATCATTAAATGTGGTTCATTTTATTCAGTGTCTAAGGGTTTCCAAGAGTAATAATATCCTCATATCTAAAGCACTTTAAAATTCCCCAATAAAAAGTTTTAGTGAAGTATAAAATGAAATTATCCTACAGTTCTTAATAAATTTTCAAAAAATTTACATGAAATAGTACAATTCTAGCAAACTTGACCCTGTGGCCAGTATTCCAGGAATACTCTGAACCATAATCAAATTTGTGAACCACCTAATCACCTGTAGCATGTCTTACCCAAGAGGCAAATAGTTGAAGTTTTAATATATTTTAAAGCTGTATGGGTGAGTACAATTTTAGGGGTGGAATGGAGTGTGAATCAAACCCTCTGATTCCTGTTTCAGCCCTCTTTCTACTATACAATTTTCTTTGCAAATTATTCTGGCACTGTCATTATTTATATATAAAGAAGTGAAAATAGTTTCTCGAAATTCTGAGCATCATTTTAATTTTTTTCTAAGCATCATTTTTTTTTTTAAGTTTTAAATTTGCAAGTTGATATTTTGCTGTTTAGAGAGTCTTGATTTAACTTGCTAAAGCTCATCTCTTGGTTGAAGAAAGAGAATGCATCTTTTTTATAGATACATTTATAACCTATGGTAACAGTATAGAGTCTTTGGGATAGGAGAAGGCAAAAAACATGACAAGTTCAATAGGTTCACTTGTATTAATCCTTGTCTCTCTTACATGGAATTTTATTTTAATATATGAATAAACATCTGTGCAGGCAAATTATGTAAACCTAAGCACGGAGCACAGCTCAAGTATTACAAGTACACAACCCATGTACTCTGTTCCACTTATCATGGACACATTGCTAACTTAGCAGCATAGTGAAAGCAGACTATGAATTATACTATTGTACTATTCAGTCGGGCAACTTAATATTAACTGGGATGGTACTTACTAAAAAGTTGTATCTACATTTGTTTTTTGTTTTTTTTTTTCTAAAATCCTTTTTATTTATTTTTGAGAGAGACAGAGTACAAAAGGGGGAGGAACAGAGAGAGAGAGGGAGACACAGAATCCGAAGCAGGCTCCAGGCTCCAAGCTGTCAGCACAGAGCCCAACGCAAGGCACAAACTCATGAACCGCAAGATCATGACCTGCACCAAAGTAGGATGCTTAACTGACTGAGCCACCCAGGAGTCCCAGTTGTATCTACATTTGTGCACGATTGTTAAAATCTTGAACAAAGAAAACTCACTTTTACTATACAAAATAAAAATATAACTTTTGGGGCGCCTGGGTGGCTCAGTCAGTTAAGCGTCCGACTTCAGCTCAGGTCACGATCTTGCAGTCCGTGAGTTCGAGCCCCGCGTCAGGCTCTGGGCTGATGGCTCAGAGCCTAGAGCCTGCTTCCGATTCTGTGTCTCCCTCTCTCTCTGCCCCTCTCCCATTCATGCTCTGTCTCTCTCTGTCTCAAAAATAAATAAACGTTAAAAAAAACTTTAAATAAAAAAAATATAACTTTCTAAATAATAAGAAAACCTGACTTAAATAAAACTATTTTACCTGACATCAAAAATATGACTCATTTAATCGGTTTAGAGGAAAGAAAAACATATTTGCAGTATCAGTATCATCTTTAGGTAACATTCAGCTTATGCTCATCAGTAACAGTATCATCTTTGTTGACCGGCAGGTTGGATCCAGCATGTTAATCCATTGGCTTTACTTTTTATGAAATCTTTGTTACACTTTTACAAACTAAATGTTTTAAAAAACTGTAACTAGTGCTGTAGTAGCTCTAACTTCCTACCAGGAAAGATAAGGATTTTGCATATATATTTTAATGACTGTACAATTTTTAAATATCAAATACTAATCCCAAAAGTGAGACAAAATGTACAAAAATAATGCTCACTTGGATACCAAACAATTAACTATTAAAATGTTTTGTATGAGCCATTGGTTTGTCCTTAATATACCTCCTACCTAACTAAAATGACATCATACACATATATAAATATATATATTTCATGTATATATATATATATATATACACATGTGAAATCATAATTATATATATTTACCGTAAGAGGATAGTTAGCACTGGCAAAGCACCTATGTCTAGTAAAAAGAAAACACTTTTTAAAACACTCCAAGTTCTTCATTTATTAAATGGAGAAAACAGTCCACTTTCTTCAGAGTGTTCGATAAACCATGGTGTTGAGCAGTTCAGTTGGTCCTACAACCTGAAAAGGTGGGTGGCATCTCAGACAAACCATATCTATTATGTGTGTGTTTGTTTTTAAATTATTTTCTGGAAGACAATTCTAAATAAAAGCATAGAAATGCATTTTTTTGAGTCAGATAAAAAGAGTGTGAAGAACAAATAATAATTATTTGACATTTGTTTGACTTGTTCACTGATACATATCCTAAGCTGTCAGAAGAATACTGAAAATATAAGAAGCCCTCAACGCACATTGTTGGATAAATATGTTAAGAGTATAGAGATATTTCTCAAATATATGAGAATTTAAATGAGTTTAAGGGTTGAATTGTTGGCTATTTTGCAAATGCTTCCACCATAATCATAAGTTAGAAGTAACTTATTTGTGCTAAAATAATCCATGTTTGAAAATCATTGGACTATGTACAATAAATAAATACATTTATTTAAAAGGGCTTCCTGAACACCTACTATGCTTCAAAGACTGTCCAGGTAAGGCCAGTTGTTGTACAGCTTCCAGGATGTCATTCACATTGTACGTGAAATAAGTGGCCCCTCTGGTAAGGGCAGTTCAGGTCAGAGGAGACCTGCCTAGTAACCCTGGTAATAAGCGCCAGGCTTACAGAGATGGATGGGATCCAACCTCTGTCTTCCATACCGCTAAGGGATGTAGAGTATCACAGTCAGTGCTGTGGGCTGAGGTCTGGACAGGGTGCAATGAGAGCTCAGATCCTGAGAAACACATAGCTTTCTACCTAGGAAGATGCCAACGATAATTTGTTAGAGATGACTTAAGCACTACAACTCATCATTACCTCATTGGGTCACACCAGTAGTTCCATTTATGCTATAGATCGTTTTCTGAAAAACTCAACATGCTAGGTCAGCTTGTACTGTAAAGCCAGTCATCCAAGCATAATTCAGTTTACCTTGGAATATAACGTAAAACTTGCAATACTCACATCAAGATCATCCTTTGCATTGTAGTAGACAACTTCATTGCTCTATAGGAAAAAAAAGAAAAGAAAAGAAGAGTGCCTTACTGATTTCAGTAAAAATGTAAAAATATACTGGATCAAGTTCTGAATACATTTTGTGCATATTTTAAATAATAAACCCCTCATGGAATTCTTTTCACAATACACTCCACAAAGATGCATAAAGAT